GTTGCAGCCGGTGGTTTAACCTGCCGTGCTGCAAAGCCGGACCCCTGATGGTGATATTTCTGAACAGCTGCTTCTTTCCCAAAGGTCAGAAAGCCCTGTGGTCCACCCCGTAGTCCCCTCTTTCAAAGGAGAGCAACCTCGTGTGCCTAGGAATTATTGCTGAGTCATGACTGAGTTATTGCTGAGTCTTGGTTACAATAAAGGATTTGATTGGAAAAAAGAAAATCGAAGCTGCCAGCTCGGGAGCTGCTGTTCGGCAGCAGGGGCTGGGCCTTTTCTGTGGCCGGGCTGACCCTGGTGCTGAAGTGCGTGCGCAGCACATCATGGGGTAGTGGCGGCTGCGCCCAGCCTTGGGACGAGTCGCCAAATCCCGCTAGTGGCGTATGTCAGAGAAAGCCATCGGCGTGTCTACCAGTCCGTGACCGCGTCGATGGCACAGGGGTTTTCATGTCCTCCCTCCCTGTGCCTCTGCTACCTGGGGACGGGTCTCTGCAAAACGTGTGTGCTGAGCTGAATTTGTGTCTCGGACAGAATGAAACTTCCCGCCCAGCCTTGAATGGAGACAGAGGTCGTTTGTTTAATGCGCGGAGCGCTGCGCCGTCTGCATGTGGCTGCTCTGTGGTTTCTTGTCCTGTCCCTTCAGAGCGGGCACCAGCGGGACGGTGCTGGTTTGCTAAAAGGTGGAGGCAGTGGGCAAGTGCGGTGCCGCTGACGCGCTGGCAGGGTGTGCTCAGACTCGGCCGGGGAGCCCCTCAGGGCGACAGGCCTACCCCCGTGCCTCAGCCACGTTTGTGAGGGGACTGCACGACGTTTTTGGAAAGATGTAATTAAGAGATCAAGATATGTTTATTTTGGTGCAAAAAGTTTTTTAAAGCATGCACAGGTTTTTCTTAATGCACACTTCCCATGAACTTTATGGAGCCCCGTGTATCTTAGGATGACGTCAGAAGCTGGTTGAAACCTGCTGATGGACTGCAGGCCTTGTCGTGGTCTGCAGAGCTTAACTCCCTTTGTCCAGGGGAGCACCAGGACCCACGTGGAGACTGGGGGATGACATTTGCTGGTGCTCCCAAGGCATTGCCTGGATCTGAGAGGACGGCTGTGCTGTTTCAGCACTTGTGAGAGACACTCATTCTAACCAGCAACGAAGAATTTGGTCTTGTTTTGGGCCCTGGATTTTCATCTTTATGCATTTCTTTGGGGGCCCCTTTGGACTTGCATTTTTGAGTCCCCCCAGAGGGCATTCCAAGGTAGGGGTTAAAGTAACCCAGTGCTTCTGGGTAAGAAGAGCCACAGGGGCTGAGGGGGCAGCAGTGCCATTCGGGTGGGAAGGCCTGGGCGTCGCTGCACGGCCCCCGGACACAAAGAACTCATGGTGTCCCGTTGCTGACTCTTGGGACACATGGATGGGTTAACATGGTTTTGCTTTCCTGAGAACTTTTGATGGGAAGTTCTCTTCACGTAGTGCTTTTGTCCCTCACGATCACACAGTACGAAGCAGCGCTCGGCCCTGTAAGCGCTCAAGGCACTTAACCCAGAGTACACAGCGCCAGCCGTGTCTGCCCGCAGCCTTAGGTCACGGGGTGAGACGTGGCTCTGTGCTGTCGCATGCTGCCACGTGGGAGGCTCCGGGACTCCACGGGTACGACCGTTTCTCAGGAAGGCGGCGTAGAGTGGTGGCCACCGAGCTTCCAGCCCATGGAAGCCCAGGTGGCATCCAGGACACCGGGGACGCCGGGGGGCGAGGTTTCTGGAAGCAGCTTCCACTTGCTGTGACTGACTTCCAAAGAAGCCTTTGGTCTCTTTGGGGTGAGCCTGGGAGAATGCTGGCCGCGCTCCTGCGCAGTGGTAGAGAACCAGCTCTCAGTGCCTCAGCCCACACCTGCACGCACAGAGCAAGGAGCCCTCCCCACCTCGACGCACCTCGAGTCGGCCGCGAGGTAAGAGGTGCTGGAGGACCCCCAGGAGACGCGGAACTGCCCCTGGACTCCCCCTTTTATGCCCGACTGTGGTATTCCAGGCTCACCTCCCGCCTCTCCTGCTGGCTGACAACCTCAGCCCGACGTCTGTGAGGAGCCCGTCAGCCCCTCAGGGCTCAGCAGGTCTGCAGCTCGGTCATCCTGCTCCCAGGCCGAGCCGGGCCTCTCCTCGCTGGACGCTCCCAGCAGAATCGGCCTGTGCCGGGCCTCCCTGTGGTTTCCAGAACTGGGGCTGCTCTCCCACACACGTCCACACTCCTTGCAAAGTCTCACAGCCCAGGTCCATGTTCACGGTCCCTCCTGGACGCCAGGAGGGCCGGGTTTTGTGGGGCAACACACGGTAGCACGCCCTTGCTTTTTGGCCTGTTCCCAGGCAGTGGGGAAGCCCCTGCCCCTGCCCCTGCCTGCCCCTGTCCCTCGGTGCAGCCTTTATTCACATTGAAGGAAAATTGTCTTTTTTGCTCCCAGTCCTCTGCAGAGCAAAAAGACTTGTCGGATTCGGGAGAGGAGCCTCGGGGGGAGGCTGAGGCCCCCCCCCATGGCACGGGTCACCCCGCGTCAGCTGGTGAGCGTGCCCTAGAGCCTCCTGCCCCCGCTAGCACTTCCGCCAGCACTCCTCCGCCTCCCGCTCCTGAAGCCCGGCTTCCTCCTTTGCCGCGAGAACTGGCAGGGGTAAGTCCACACCACCCAGCACTCCCGCTGCCCAGGGATCCCGCCCAGACGGCCCCTTCCCTTTCGGCCCCTCAGATCCAGACCCCAGACCATCGTAAGCAGCTGATGGTAACTTAAAAGCAGCAGGAATTCCTCCAGCTCCCTTTGAGTCACGCTGCGGCCGCACTGGGAGAGGAGCCCCTCTGTTAGGCGTTTCTCACGGGACTCTGTGCCCCATAGCAAGACGCTGATCTGTTTCCTGAAAGAGACGCGAGGGGCCGCAGGGAAGCTGACGAGTCGGGGAGAACCTTCCACGCCAAATTTGACCCCCGTCTCCCCACTTGCATTTTTCTTTCTCCTTTCCCTGACTTCGGGCATTCGTGTGCAGGGTCCCAGGAACCCGACAGCCCGGGCTCCCCGTGTCCGTGGGAAGAGGAGGTGTCTGGCACAGGTTGCTTGGCCAGACTGATTGTGTGCGGAGCGTGGTTAGGCGGTGAACTGCCTGTCTCCAACCAAAGCAGGAAGAAGAAAAGACTCTCCCTTTGAATCCAGAAGGAGCCCTTGAGCCCTTTCTCTTTGTATTGAGAAGCTTTGGAAGACCCTAGGTGGAGAAGACGGTGAACTTGAAGAACAAGAGATGTCTGGGGTTTTGGAAGTTTGAGGAGTTGGGCCAGGTAAACACCGTCCTGCACTCAGGACTGACCGCTCCGTCCTGTAGGTAGCTGCTGACCGAAGACAGGGAGCAAGGACTTTCCAAGAAGACCCCAGGCCCTGCCCCAGCCAGACCTTAGCGCTTCCTCCTGTCACACACCAGTCCCCCGTTCTTGAGAAAACCATGACAATTCAGTTTCAGCCAGAAAACCCTAGGATACGCAGGAAGAAGTGGTGTTCAGCCCAAGTGCGGTCGGAGCTCTGTTTTCACATCTTGGAGGAAGCAGTGTGAGATGGAAGAAGAAACAGTCCATGTGCCGGGGTTGGGGGCATCCTTCATGGCACACAGGGGTCTGGGCAGTGGGGCAGACTCGGAAGCCGCAAGAAAGCTGGCGCCACAGCACGACCCTCACGCGAGCGAGCGCCAGGGCCACAGCACAAGGTTTAGGAGGGGTTTGCGCTTTTTGCTTATTTGTTGGCAGAGCAGCTCCTGGAGACCTCTCGTGAGTTGAGTGTGCACTCTTGGGGGCACAGGAGACGGTTCTGAGCGTGGATGAGCTTCGGTGGGGATTCCGCTCAGGCCCTGCGTCCCTAAAGCCCAGCTCGCCTGGGACCCTCTTCCCAGCAGGGTTCAGAGAGAGAAGCAGATGGGACAGCTGCCCTTCTCCCAGAGGCCCACCAGGAAGCGTCCTGAGAGGGCCTCGGCTTCTTGATCCCCTTGGACTTTGGGTCAGAAGCACTCGTGCTGAGAGATGCGAGCAGAGCCTTGGGCTGAGCCAGGACCGGGACTGGGGGCAGTGCACACGTGTACCAGTGTCATGCTGAGGGCCCGGAGCACCATGGTCACAAGGCTTGGTGACAGCTCTGAGCCAGCTGGGGCTTGCTGCCTGGCTCTCGGCAGAGTAAACCCTGCCAGGTCGCTAGCGGCATCCCTAACCGGCCTTCTCTACTGCTTGGGTTGTTGAAGGCAGGGTAGACTTGACTTAGGTCAGTCAGGCCGTGAGCCAAGCCGGGTGGAGCCTGACGGCGCTGCCTTGTGGCCAAGGCCCTTTTCCTTCAACACCACACGTGTGGGATCTTGCTGTGTCCCACTGTGGGGTCCAGGAAACCAGCCACGCTTACCCCAGGCCTCCCCGTCGTGCTGGCCTGCCCTCTCGACTCCAGGCCCCTGGCGACAAGGTAAAGCGGAGAGCTCCTTGCCCCTGCCATTGTTCCGTCTCATCAGAGCCCTGGCCCCGGAGGAGCGAGTGCCAGGACACCTGCCGGCCTGCAGAGCGCTTGGACAGAGGCCAGACTGCGTGCCGACGAAGCTCTGGGTCCTACGGAATCGCACCGGACTGACGTTCCTGCTGGGGCCCGGCTGAGCTTCACGCGTGGTTCTTAGAGCCCCTGGGGAGTTTCACAGGCGTCTGGTTGGACCCCTGTGGCCAGACAGCTCCCCTTCACCTTGCAGGGGCCTTGACCCTCACCGCCGGCAGCAGCCAAGCCTTTGGAGGTGGCTTCTCACCTGCGACTTCACTGGCCGCCTGCTTGATAAGGATTCTGAGCTGGTGGCCTCTCCCACCGGCCCGTGTCTTGGTCTGCGTCCCACACAGCCGCTTTGGTGCAGTGGGAATGCTTCTTGGGTTGGGGGGGGGTGGGGCCTGGAGCCACCGTGCGTTGTCACTGCTGCGCCCGGGCAGGGATTCCCTGGGGCGACGCAGGCCAGGCGGTGGCCGCTGTCTGGGGAAGCTTGCTCTCCGGTCTGTCCGGGCGTGCATTGCTGCTCATGCGCCGTCTGCCTCTGCAGGGCAGCCTCTGGCGCCGCCCCTCTGCCTGCTCCTTGCGAGCGCACGCCGGGCAGCCTCGCCAGGGCTGTTTGTGAGTGAGTGTCGCGGTTGTGGCATTGCTGTCGTCTTCTGCACCAAGAGCCTTCGGGGGTCTGGTGTGGCACTGGAGTGAGCCCTCGTCAGGCTCCCGTCCTGTCGTGCCCGAGAGAAGCGGGAGGGTTGTGTGCTCTGCCGCCTGCTTCCCTGTGTACTCTGGGCCATCTGCATCCTGCTGCGCCTCGCAGCGGTGGGGTCTGCTGAGGGAAAGTAGAGGACCACACACCCCCACGGGGGTCCCTGGTGCAGTGACTGGGCGTGGGGTCTGCTGAGGGCAAGTAGAGGACCACACACCCTCACGGGGGTCCCTGGTGCAGTGACTGGGCGTGGAGTCTGCTGAGGGCAAGTAGAGGACCACACACCCTCACGGGGGTCCCTGGTGCAGTGACTGGGCGTGGGGTCTGCTGAGGGCAAGTAGAGGACCACACACCCCCACGGGCCCTGGTGCAGTGACTGGGCGTGGGGTCTGCTGAGGGCAAGTAGAGGACCACACACCCTCACGGGGGTCCCTGGTGCAGTGACTGGGCGTGGGGTCTGCTGAGGGCAAGTAGAGGACCACACACCCTCACGGGGGTCCTGGTACAGTGACTGGGCGTGGGGTCTGCTGAGGGAAAGCAGAGGACCACACACCCCCACGGGGGTCCCTGGTGCAGTGACTGGGCGTGGGGTCTGCTGAGGGCAAGTAGAGGACCACACACCCTCACGGGGGTCCCTGGTGCAGTGACTGGGCGTGGGGTCTGCTGAGGGCAAGTAGAGGACCACACACCCCTCACGGGGGTCCCTGGTGCAGTGACTGGGCGTGGGGTCTGCTGAGGGCAAGTAGAGGACCACACACCCCCACGGGGGTCCCTGGTGCAGTGACTGGGCGTGGGGTCTGCTGAGGGCAAGTAGAGGACCACACACCCTCACGGGGGTCCCTGGTGCAGTGACTGGGCGTGGGGTCTGCTGAGGGCAAGTAGAGGACCACACACCCTCACGGGGGTCCTGGTGCAGTGACTGGGCGTGGGGTCTGCTGAGGGCAAGTAGAGGACCACACACCCTCACGGGGGTCCCTGGTGCAGTGACTGGGCGTGGGGTCTGCTGAGGGCAAGTAGAGGACCACACACCCTCACGGGCCCTGGTGCAGTGACTGGGCGTGGGGTCTGCTGAGGGCAAGCAGAGGACCACACACCCTCACGGGGGTCCCTGGTGCAGTGACTGGGCGTGGGGTCTGCTGAGGGCAAGTAGAGGACCACACACCCTCACGGGCCCTGGTGCAGTGACTGGGCGTGGGGTCTGCTGAGGGCAAGTAGAGGACCACACACCCTCACGGGGGTCCCTGGTGCAGTGACTGGACGTGGAGTCTGTTGAGGGAAAGCAGAGGACCACACACCCTCACGGGCCCTGGTGCAGTGACTGGGCCTTGGGCTGTCAGCGTGTGTGAGTGCCGCAAGAGCTCGGACCCGGCAGCCGTGGCAGGAATTTGGCAAGTGCTGGTGAAACTCGTGCGGGCCAGCGCGGCCGGAGGGGTCTTCCTGCCCCCAGCTTTCCCCACTGTGGGGTGCGCGGCGGGAGGCAGCCGTCAGCGAGCTCAGCCCTCTCCTGAGAAGGCCTTCCACGTAGCAGGGTGCTGGACAGGGAGGCCCCGCTGGGGGCCCCCGGAGGCAGCTGCTGAGGACGTCTGGGAGAGCCGACGTGTCCACCGAAGGTGACCACGGTGGCGGCCGTTGCAGCCCCACTGGGGGTCCCAGCCGCATTTGCCCCTGTACTGTCCTTACTGGGCCTTGGCTGCGTACCACACAGCAGTTTGAGCCATGGGTTGAGGTTCTCCTGAGGTTAGGGCCCTAGGGGCGTCTGCATGTTGTCTGGCTGAGCTACGTGAGGGACGGGCTCCCTCCGCACAGCATCCTAGGTGTTGCATATGTGCACTGCGTCGCAGCGAGACATGAGAGGCAGTGGCGTGGACGTGTTGACCCTAGAGGTGACGGGGGTGTGCCCAAACGTGATGAGCTTGACGAAAGGGCCTGTGCAGTGAGCAGTGGTGGATGGGGCTGAGTGTGCCGTGGCGGGGGAGCTGCACTGCTGCCCCAGGCATGGGGGAGGGAGAAGGCAGGCTCCAGCGTCACCCAGCGTGGTCGTGTTCTCCGGCCACAGCCAGCACCGCACAGACGGCGAGAGGCCAGGAGGGAGCCCAGCGTCGGGCACCCTACTCAGGGGAGGTGATCTCCAGCACCCACCACGTTCTTACGGAGACCTGAGGCCCTGCGAGGTGTGGCTTGTCGTGAGGAGGCCTCGGATACGCAGAGCTCAGCCCGCAGCACTGGAGCTGGCTGGTCCCGCCCAGCAGTCAGCGGCGTCAGGAAGCAGGAGAACGTCTGAGCAATGAGGCGGGACTCGTGGAGCACGGAGCCCATGGGGACACCGCCGGCAGGGTGTGTCCAGTGCACGCGGCCCGGGCGGCAGAACTCACCTCAGCTGTGAAAGGGTCGAAGTCAGAGTGCCTTCTCCCATCGCACTGGAGCCAGAGTGGAAGTCGGAAACTCCCGTGGGTCACTGCAGGCTAAGGGCGGGTATGGAGGCCTCCTGGGGTCGTGACAGTGGGACGTCTCCACAGAGCCATGGAGCAGGAGGAGACTCAGGGCCCTGGCCGTGGCCACGATTGTATTGGTGCCTCCCACTGTGAGGTTGGCATCGGTGCCTGGCGTGTAGGTCCTGTCACTGACCGCGGGCCCGTGAGCACCTGTGTGCCAAGAACCATTTCTCTCCTGGAACTCGGGGTCTGGTGAGCTTGCCAGCCCAGTCATGGAATCAGAATCAGCGCCACGGAGGAAACGTGTGCGGCACGTGAAGACCCCGCAGCCCAGGGCGTCGCTGGACAAGGTGGCACAGAGGCCTGAGAGAGGATGGCCAGCCTGGGTCCCAGCAGTCAGCCCGGAGGCCCCCGTGGAAGGGCTTTGTACAGTGGGCATGCTTGTTGGGTTAGGAGAGAAGGGCTAGGGCCGCAGGACGTAGCCTGCCCTCAGCATGAGGTGGGAGGAGAGGTGGCACCTACGCAAGGCTGGGGCGCCCCTCTGAGGTGAGGCTGTGAAGAGGGGTGGGCCTGGGGGAGGGCCCAGGATGGGGGGACTGAGGCCCCAGGAGTTCTAGGCCACGGCGTCAGCAGCCGGGTGTGCAGACGCTGCCTCCCTGGGCCGAACGTGAGGTGAACTGGTACCTGGAGCCTGCACCCCACTGGCATCCCCCAAGGAGAGAGGGCATTCCCGGAGAGGGGGCTGAGGCCGGCCTGGTGACTCCTCCCTGGGCTTTCAGATGCGGGTCTGGGCGCAGCAGGAGGGGTCTCTCAGCCCTGCTCTGGTCCTGGTCTTGGGACCCCTCTTCGTAACTCTTTGAGGAGAGGCTCATGTCACAGCCTCGTCTGTCCTGTCACGTCTGTCCCAGCATCTAGTGGAAGCCAGCTTGCCTTGAGAGCATGGCCACAGCCAGCGTGAGGCGTGAGCGGTCAGAAGGTACCAGGAGCTTGGCCTGGCTGTTGGCAGGGCCCTGGGCATGGGCACACGTGCTGCCTGTGTTAGCCCAGGGAACCTCAGCACCGTCCCTGGAGAGGAGGCACTAGGCTCGACCAGCCGAGGCCTGCCTGGGCGCAGTAAGCTTCCCCGCTGGCCCGGTGGGCTGCAGGTCTCGAGAAACGGGGGGTGGTTTTCTTTCCATGCTCATGGCCCGGCCCTGAAGCGGTGAACGTGGTGCTAGCCTGCGGGCTTGCCTGTGACCAGGTGGTTTGTTCAGCCTGGGACTCTGGTGTTTGCAGTTGCCCAGGGACTGATGGCACCCCTGTGTGTCCTCAGGCTCACGGTCCCCCTGCCTGGCGGTCACCCAGGTTGGGGTCCAGTCCTCGTGTCGTGAACTGACTGTGCAGCTGCCCTCTGGACAGTCACTGCTGCACGTTCCAGTCCACAGCCTGCGAGCGCAGACGGTGTTTACATTCTTAAAGGATTATAAAAACAAAAGCAAGGAGTATACGGCAGAGAGCAAATGTGGCCCTTACAAAGCCAAAAGTACAGGCTGCCTGTCCCTTTATGGGAAGACGGGCCGCCCCCGCCCCGAGGGAGGAGCTTTTGGCTCCTGGCGGCTCCTGCTTTATTTATTGCAGTTGGCAGAGCGCGTCCAGCACATCAGCTCTTAATCTCTCGCAGCTCGCAGCTCTGGGGGCAGGCAGTCCTCATCTGGCTCGACTTGACCCCTGGGGAGCCTTCTGGAAAATAAGAAACTTGACTCTTCTGCTTGCTCTTAAACCGAGTGTTGGGTGGGCCAGGAGGTGGCCCGGCCCGGCCCTGGAGAGCGACACGTCCCGAATCCAGCACGTGCGGGGCGGGCGGGGGCGGGGGGGGGCTTTCTGTAACCAAGTCTGTTTGCCAGTTACTCACGTCCTGCAGTGAGAGCTTGGTACTGGAGGGCGCTCTCCCGCGCCTCCCTCCTAGCCTGTGGCTGTCCTGTGAGCTGTAGGATTGCATCTGGGGATTGTGGGCTTTGGCCCGGAGCATTCCAGCTCTGCCCGCCTTTCCCTGCTCTGTAAATGAAAGCCTGTGGAGGCAGGAGTGCGTGCCCTAGAACGTTCCAGAAACTGCCCGGAGGGGTGTTCCGTGTCCACTGTCAACAGCCCGCCGCCCTCGTGGTAAAGAGGCTGGCCTGGGCACTGGGCAGGTGGAGTCTGGCAGCGCTGGCGCGGGGCCCTGGTACTGTCAGTGCTTTCCCGCCTGCTGGGCAGGTTCCTTGGCACGTGTTTCTGTGGGCCAGACGCAGAGTTTCTTCAGCGGCTGGTTGAGGTTCTGTGGACGCGTGGCAGGCCCAGCTCGGGGACTTGGCCCTCGGCTCTGGGTCGCCAGGCGCCGTCTCACCGCCCTCCTGTGTGCTCTCGTTTCAGAGGTCAGCTGGCGGCTCCAGTCCCGAAGGGGGAGAAGGTAAGGACGTCTCCGGAGCCGTTGGCCCTTCCGTGGTTGGGAAGGAAGCAGCCTGACGGTCCTCGTCCCCTTTGTTTTCTGTAGATTCTGACCGGGAAGATGGCAACTACTGCCCTCCTGTCAAGCGAGAACGAACGTCCTCACTGACCCAGCTCCCCCTCTCACAGCCAGGTGAGCTCACCTCGCGTGCCGGGCAGCCCACCTTCTCCGGCACTTCCGTCCGTCGTCTGTCCCCTGCCCGGCTCCTGGAGAGTGCGTCCGAGTCTCGGCCTCCGTCAGGAGGAGGGCTCGCGTCTCGTGAAGCCGTCTGTCGGGGTGGAGGCAGGCCGGGCTGTGGAGCCTGGCGGAGGCTCTGGCTGCTGTAGTCCTCTGTGCAAGCTGCTCCACCGCTGTGGACGGAAGGGGGAAGGGGCACAGGGACCTTGCTGCATGCCAGTGGAGGAGCCACACCCACAGTCACGCGTGCACACGCATGTGCACACAGGAACCAAGCCCAGAGGCCCCAGCAGACGCACAGTCAGCATGCACACACACACAGTAACCGTGTACACACATGTGTGCACACAGAGTAACCAGCAGGGCCTGGGGAGGCCAGGAAGGAGGGGCTGGCTGGGCTCAGACAGGTGGGCTGAGGGTGAGGAGGCCCTGGGTGGGTGGTGCACTCTGAGCACCTGCGGGCTCAAAGGCTAGTGCAGGAGAGGGGCAGGCTCCAGGCACCAGACGGGTCTTGTGGCTGCTACCTGGGCGGCGTGGAGAACCTGAGCTTCAGCCCCCAGCCACGGGGACGGCCCGGCAGCGACGGCTGCATCACGGTGTGTTGTCTCACGGTCTCGGTCTCGGACGTCTGCAGTGCCGACTTGGAGACGTGTGTCTCGGGACAGGTTCTCCAGCTGCGCAGTCCAAGTCATTGTTCCTGCAGTTGAGCCTTAAGGAAGCCCCCGTAAGGGGGAACATTCGGCAGTTGTCTGTGTGTGCAGAAGTAGTGCAGGTGTTACCGGAGGGTGTGACATAGGTGACGACCCTGCAGGTCATTCCTGTGGCACAGTGGACCCTGATCGGGACGTGCCCACCTGCCCTCCGCCACTGCCTGTGGTCCCTCGGGCACCGGTGCTGAGGGGCTCTGCAGACGGTCTGCACGCCAGGATGCGGAGTGCTGTGCGCTTGCCTGGTGTTCCCACAGGACTGGCAGCGTCTGCTTCCTCCCCCTTACGGCTGCTGCTGGCACCACGCAGGAGAGCGAGGCGCCGTGTGTTGTGGCCGTGGGCTGACGGCAGAGGAGCACTGCAGTGTCCCTCTTCCCCTCTGGCCCACGTAAAACCCCCTCTCCCCCAGCGCACCGGCCCTTAGGAGGGCCTCGGCTCTCGCTGAGCAGGGACGTGGACAACAGACGTGGTACCAGCAAGTTGGGAGTCTGCCCTGCCTGCGCTCTGTGCGGCCGCCTGTCCTCACGGCACTGTTAGATCCTCAGTGAATTCCGCTTCACCTGTGGCAGCCTGTAGGCTGGCCGGCAGCTCAGGAAGCAGGCAGTCATGTAAACCAAGAGCTTAGACACTGACAAGTGAGGGTGGAGCCTCCGATGCCCTCCACTCCCATAGCTGCTGCCCCTGCCGGGCCTGCGGCAAGGTGGGCAGCCAGGAGTCGGCCAGGACACAGTGAGCCCTCAGGTCGAGGGGGCCTGGCCGGAGTCGGCCAGGACGCAGTGAGCCCTCGGGTCGAGGGGGCCTGGTTGGAGTGGGCCAGGACACGGTGAGCCCTCGGGTCAAGGGGGCCTGGCCGGAGTGGGCCAGGACGCAGTGAGCCCTCTGGTCGAGGGGGCCTGGCCGGAGTGGGCCAGGACGCGGTGAGCCCTCAGGTCGAGGGGGCCTGGCCGGAGTGGGCCAGGACGCGGTGAGCCCTCAGGTCGAGGGTCCTGGCCGGAGTGGGCCAGGACGCGGTGAGCCCTCAGGTTGAGGGGGCCTGGCCGGAGTGGGCCAGGACGCGGTGAGCCCTCGGGTCGAGGGGGCCTGGCCGGAGGCGCCTGTTGGCTGCCAGAAGAGGCAAATTTCCTCCCCCCTGTTGGTACGCGGACCCTCAAGCCATGGGCTCGACACCCGGCCTCCGGGGCAGGCTGCCCGCATGTGCACCCTGCCTGTTGGCTCTTTGTCCTCTTGTTCTCTCTCCTGCCTGCGCCTCCTTGCCAACAGCATAAAGCACAATGGCTGTCTTCCTGCCATCAGCCGTCAGTCCTCCGCGGGCACCTGGGCCTCAGCCCTTGCCCCCGCCAGTCCCGGGGCGCACTGAAAGGCAGGTGGTTGCTCTTGGGTGAGGGTAGGCATGTGGGCCAGGTCCCGGGCCGCTCCTGGGAGGGGGTGGGGCTTGTTCATCTTTCTAAGGTTCACACAAGCCGTGTAACCACATTGATTTTCAAAGATCAAATCAAACAATCCAGTGAAAAGACCCCCCGGCACCCGCCTCCTCCCTGTCCCGGCACACAGGGCACTGCCGGGCAGGGTGTGCTGTCCTGGGCCCTGGCTCTGTGTGTAAAGTTCTCGCATTCATTAACACCGCCTTGATCTGCTCAGATAAATAGATTTTAATCACGGCTTCAGCTTGATCCCTCGACGGGAAGACAGAGCCTGCCTTTTTTGGGCTTTCACTAGAGAACTTCAGGATTTCCTGAAAGTTTCTCCCACATGACTGAAATTCCCCATAAAAGATTTAATGAGCGAGGTTAACAACGCGAGTCCTGTTACTCGACCTGCCTGACGTAGATTTATGGCTGACTTCAAAGGCAGGCTGTCGGCGGCCCGGGCAGGAGGCAGCCGGCAGGGCCCAGGTAAACCGGCAGGGCCTACGGCAGGAGCATTTATGACTGTGGATTGACTGATGGCACCGTTCCAGCCATCAGACTCCTGCTGAGTCTCGATGCGGACCATTGGAGCTGAGCCCCTGCCCGCACCCTGAAGCAGGCCCCGAGGCCCATGTGGCCTGTAGGTGATGCCAGGTGGTCCCCCACCACCGCTACCACCGGTGGCCTGCCTTCCGGCCGAGGCCGTCAGGAGCACTGCCGTGCTGGGTTACACATCCCTCGTGGCCTCGGGTTCTGGAGTCACAGATCACCTGCCCTCTCCCCCAAACCCTTGTCCGCAGGAAGCGGCTCAGCCGTCTTGTGGGCTTGAACACAGCCGTGGCCTCTAGTCCCCGCTGCCCGGATCCACGTCCCTTCCACACAGCAAATTCCTGTCCTTTGCTGCCTGCCCACCGCCTCGCCATCTTCTGCTCCTTAGCTCTGAGACTTGGAGGGGTGCTCGCACCTCCCCTACCTCGAGGCCCCGCCCCTGGGCCACAGCCGTCCCTCACAGCAGGGTCGAGTCCCTGTCTCCCTGCGTCTGGAGTACTTCCTCAGTCTGCTTACCCTCATGACCTTGGAGTTCACCCACTGCGTCCCTGGATGCTCTGAAGCCATGCGGGGGCTTCCCCTTGCACATCCCCGCCTCGCCTGTCTGGTGGGGCGGGGTGGGAACCTGATCTGCCCTCTGGGTTTCCTCGTTCTCCGTCCTCAGCCGGGCCGAGCGCCCGTCCTGCCAGGCTGCCTGCTCTTGGGTCCTCTCCAACATCTGCTGCACACCAGGTCTAACTCCTGGATGTTTTCCTGCTGCCCCTCAGACGTCGCACGGGCCTGTCTCAGCGTGCAGGAGGCACCCTTGGACGGCAGCCTGCTGGGAGGATGTAGGCTGCCCACGGAGGACTTTGTCCACCGCGGTGCTGGCCTGCGGGCTGGGGCCTGGGCTGTGTGCTGAGCCTCAGGCACCCGCGCGGGAAGCACTGCTTCGCCTGCATCGCACCCTGGCCGTGCTGCCAGGAAAGCACGTTTCTGGAAGGAGGGGAAAGATCACCTCCGATTCCGTGGCTTGAGACCTGCGGGGTTGGCCACCCTCTGAACGCTGCCCTGGGCCCCTGTGTCCCCCGAGTCCGCAGTGCCAGGACAAGGGCGGCCTGGGGTGTAGGCGTGGAGCAGCAGGTGCCAGCATCCCGTGTTGGAGTGCCAGTTCAAATCCTTGCTGCTCCAGTTCCCAAGTACTTGGGGGAGACCTGGGTGGACGTCACGGCTCCTGGGTATGGCCTCTCCCAGCCCTGGCATTTGGGGAATGAGCCAGCAGGGGAAAACCATTTCTGTCCATCTTTCCCGCTCTGCCTTCCAAGTGGGTGAAAATGAATCAGTGAACCTCAGAATGAGAATAGTGGGAGCTCGGAGGGAAGGAGGGGAGGTGTGAGGTGTGCGGCACCTGCGTGCCCAGGTGCTGCTGTGTTGGCGCGGGTTTCCTGCGTATGTGCACAGGGCCAGGCTCTGGGCTCAACCTCGTGTCTGGCCTGTGGCGGCAGTGGCCAGGCCTGCCACCCGCACTGTGCAGCCTGGCCTGGGCTCAAGGCTCAGTCATGGACGCCAGCACCAGGAGCTTCCTGTGCATTCTCCGAATCAGGAGCTGGGAACACAACTCCATACTCGGCTCCTGAAAAAGACCACGGGGCCACCATTCCTCCCACCCAGGGTGCCCGCTTCTCGGGTAGCTTATGTGACCGCTCTGTCGGGGCGGACACCGCGGCCACAGCTGTGGACGCCTTCAGGCTTGGCTCCTTCACTCTGGCTGGTGTTGCTGCCCAGGGAGGGAAGTTGGGGTAAGCACACAGCCGGCAGGAAGTGGGCCTTCTAGTTCTGGTTTGTTTTCAAGATCTCATTTGAGGGGCTGACGCCGTGGCGCAGCAGGTTAATCCTCCGCCTGCGGCGCCAGCATCCCACGTGGGTGCCGGTTCGAGCCCCGTTTGCTCCTTTTCCAATCCAGCTCTCTGCTATGGCCTGGGAGAGCAGTAGAAGATGGCCCAAGTCCTTGGGCCCCTGCACCCACGTGGGAGTGCAGGAAGAAGCGCCTGGCTCCTGGCTTCAGATTGGCACATTCCGGCTGTTGCGGCCATTTGGAGAGTGAACCAACGAAAAGAAGACCTTTCTCTGTCTTTCCCTCTCACTGTCTGTAATTCTACCTCTCAAATAAAATAAATAAAATCTTTAAAAACACTTTAAAAAAATAAGATATCCTTATTTGAAAGGTGGAGTTGTATAGAGAGGGAGAGACAGATTTCCGCTGCTGGTTTATTCTCCGAATGGTTGCAACAGCTAGGACTGGTCCAGGTTGAAGCTGGAGCCTGGACCTCCATCCAGGCTTCCCACGTGGCCATCATCTGCTGCCTCCCCAGGCCTGTTAGCAGGGAACTGGGTCAGAAGTTAATACAGGCTGTGGCATGTCAGCCTGCCGCACAGTAGTGCCAGTCCCCACGCCGCGCTGTTCCCCAGCACCGCAGCAAGGCCAGCTCTGGTGACCTGTGACTCCCTGCCCTGGGCACACCTGGCTGTTAGGATGACCCGCACCCCAGGTGGGCGCAGTTGCTGGGACACCCGAGAGAAGCCCCTGGGGTCTGACCCCCTCGGGCTCTGGGTGTTGGTCGTAGGCCTGGCAGCGCGCCATGAGCACATCTGGAATGAGAGCAGGCCCCTCAGATGTCGCCTGTGCTGTCCTGCGGGACACATCCTCCCTCCCAGACATCTGCTCGTGGGGCCACAGCCAGCCTCTGGTGGGTGAGAGCCCTGGGAGAGGATCTTGGCTCTGTGGCTCCGCGACACCGCAGGCCTGCAGACCTGCACTTTGCGAGCGGCTCAGCTCCTGGGCAGGCAGCAGAGGGCAGCCTTGCTTCCCCGCCCAGCCCTGGAGAGCTCCAGTCCTCCCTGAGGTCACCGTCCTGGCCTGCAGTCTCTCAGAGCCAGCACTTCCTGTCCTCCCTGAGCTCTCTTACCACCCAGCTCCTGCGTTTCTGTTGTGATTCAGAACCGTGTGCCTCGGGCCGCCTGGGCCGCGGGAGCCCTCTTGTCCTGCCCTTGCTCCCTCCCGGCCTGGCGCCCCAGGGACGCTTGCCGACCTTACCTTGTGGCTTGTCTTGCAGAGGAAAAGACCAGCGGGTTCCGGTTGAAGCCACCGACGCTGATCCACGGCCAGGCGCCCAGTGCAGGTGGGTGGCCACTGTGGAGGACGAGGGGACGGCTTTCCCAAACCTTTCAGGCCGCCCTGGGAGCCCTGGAGAGCTGCTCTGCAGGGAGCCTGTTTGGCCAGGGAGGCCCGGGCCAGCCAGTGGGAACCCTGTGCCCAGGAGAGGCAGGCCATCTTGGCATGAGCTGTTGGCCCCCCTGCCCAGCTCTCTACCCGCCGACCCCTGCTGAGCAGTGCGGTCATGCCCAGGGGCACTGCTTACCAGGGCAGCCACGGTGGTCTCTGAGCAGACACAGTCCGCAGTTACTGGGGAGTCACCCGTGAGCTTGCCGCCTCCCCCTCTGTCTCCTTGGCTCAGGAGTCCAGCACCAGGACAGCCGCTGTGCCTTGCTCCCCCTGTGGCTCCCCTGTCCCTGCAGTAGCCCACAGACCTGGCCCGTGTCACCTGGTCAGTCACACGTGAAAGCGGCAGTAGCCGCACTCGGCCAGTGTGGCCGTGGAGATGAGGTCGCCTGCCCCCTGCCCCCCTGCCCCGTCCTGCCTGCAGGGGCGTGGAACGGGCCCCTGGGCGGGGCTACTGTGCCTCCTGCAGGGGTGCAGGCCCTGGGAAAGCCACTTGTGTTGCAGGTCTTCCCAGCCAGAAGCCCAAGGAGCAGCAGCGGAGCGTGCTGCGCCCGGCAGTCCTCCAGGCCCCACAGCCGAAGGCCCTGCCGCAGACTGGTAAGAAGCCGCCGCCCGGGCACCCCACTTGGCACTGGGGACGAGGGATGAGGGACGGTTCTCCTTCAGCCCCGCCCCCACCCCAGCATGTTCCGCGGTGAGCCACTGCATGGCCTCCTGGAGCCCTCGGCTGAGAGCGGTGCTGGGGGCAGAAGCGCTTTGTTCATTCACCGCCTTCCTAACAGCCGGGCTGCCCCTGTGACAGTGGCGTGAGGCTTCTCCCTCTGAGACCCGCGGGGCCTTTGGATCAGCCGCCCGTACCCATGGCGAGGTTGGGGCCGCTCCTCCACCGTGGCTGCCAGGTCTCCGTGAATTCGCTCCCCCTCTCCGGGCGCCTGCCTGTGGCTGAAGGAGGGAGGCAGCACGAGGAAAGGGGGAAGCCCCGGGCGGCTTGAGCACGGGGAGACGGCTGGACTCTGCAGCGCCCTGCTCCGGAGGGGCTGTGCCCTCGCGTGCTCCCTTGTTCCTTTCCCTCAATTAGCAGTAATGCTTTCAAGCACGCTGAAAATACACGCAGCTCTTTCTGGAATAAAGATAGGCTATCCCTGCCTCCCTGAGGTTTTAGTTTCAGGGTTTTTTCCTAACAATCTGTGACTTGTCAAGATACCGCCTCCTTTCCTAAAAAAGGAGACAGCAGGGCAGCGTTCGGCCTAGCGCCTGAGATAGTGGTGAAGCACCCGGGTCCCAAGTCCGAGTGCCTGGGTTTGAGTCTCAGCCCCCCTCCCGATTCCGGTCGCCGCCTCCTGCAGACCCTGGGAGGCAGCACGTGGTGCCTGAAGTGTTTGGGTCCCTGCCACCCTCGTGGGAGACCTGGATGGCGCTCCTGTTTCCCAACTTCAGCCTGGCCCAGTCCCTGCTGCTGGAAACATCTGGGAGCGAACAAGCAGATAGAAGATGTCCCTGTGTGTGTGGGCAGGGGTGGGGGTCGGGGCCCTCAGTGGGCGCCCTCACTGCCCTGCTCTGCTTTTGCCCCGCAGTCCCAAGTAGCGGCACCAACGGGGTCAGCATCCTAGCAGACTGCGCCGGAGCGGCAGCAGCCTCCCCCGACAGCCCCGCCCGGAGGAGCCCCTCGGAACGTGCTGAGGAGGCACGCGCACTGGAGGTCGGTGGGAGCTGGGGCGGGGAGCCCTGCGTGGGGGCCGCGGGGGGAGTGGGGGGTTCTGCCACGTCACAGGCTGCCCCGAGCCTCAAGCGGGGGCCTGCCGCGAGGCTTCCTGCATCAGCGCAGTGGTCTCCGTGAACAGCCGAGCCGGGCTGGCCTGGTCCCGTTCCCACTGGCGTAACCGTACCCGAGGCTGCGTGCAGGCTGAGCACTCAGCCCCGCTGAGGCCCTCGGCAGCCACGGTCAGGGCACGTGCAAGGGGGAGAGGGCGTGGGGAGGCGGCCGGCGGAGGGACTTGCAGCCAGGTTTGCTCTCACTCCCTGAGACCTGTGTTCAGCCCTCTGAGGGCCAGTGCCCCCAGGAACCTGCTGGCCCCATAGTCCCCACCCCCTAGAGGGTCCCCTCCCCCTCAGTTCACCACCCGGAAGGAAGCTTCTAGCCTGGAAAGCCGGGAGGCCCTGGTGCCACGGCAGAGCCGTAGCGGTGCCGGTCACCAGCCTGCCCTCCGCTGGGTGCCCGAGCTCCACGCGTCCAGGGGAGCATCCTTGGCCCTGGCCCAGAGGCACAGCCTTTGCCTGGGAGATGTCTGGTTTCCGCCCCCAGATGCCCCTGGGGAGTCCAGTCTACACTGGCGAGTGAGCCAGCTGCGGTTCATTTAAGGAGCCTGGGACCCAAAGGGGTGTGCTTCAGTAGCTGCAGAGCCCGACGCCGGTCAAGAGCCGGTGACTGAGGCTGGCAGGAGTAGGGGGGAGGCAGCGGCACCGCAGTGTGGCGTCCCCCATTTGGAAAGCCCAGTGGTTGGGGCAGTTCTGGACCCCACCCATCCCCAGGGACGAGCTGCTGCCTGTGTTCCGTGCCCTCCGCCTCCTGGTAGGTAGGTGCCCAGGCTGCAGTAGTGCCAGTGTTGTCTCCAGTTAAGTGTGGCACGTCCCCGAGCCCCCCACCCTCGAGCTGCCGTTTGCTCAGCTGGGAAGATGGGAACGTGAGTGTGAGGGGTACGGCTTGCAGTCGGGGGAGCCCAGCATGTGACTCCTCCAGGGTCCTGACGGGCACCGAGAGCTCACAGCTCTCTGGAGAGGTCCTGCTCCGTCCTGTCCCTGGGGTCTGCCAGCATCCCGTGTCCTTCCTGGGCCTCGCAAACAAGGACACTAGGGCAGCTGGGGTAGGGCAGGTGCAGGTCTGTTCCCTGGGCCTCCCTGGTGACTGAGGGCGGCTCTCAGGCAGCGTCTCCCAGGCCCTACTCCCTTCTTGGCCTCATGGCTCTCTGGCCCGTCCCACTTGGTGCCCCGTGCCTGACTGGCTGTGGGCCTGGGGGGAGCCACAAGGGCCACAGCATCTTGCCCCATCCCTGGCGGTGCCAGACACATTGTCCTTGCCTCTCGTGGTCAGGGGGCCGGAGCGTGGCGAGTGAGGCTTGGGCGGCCCTCGGGGGAGCTCCTGAGGCGGGGCTTCGCTGGGTCCTGTGTGCCGAGGTTAGACACTGGGGGGTGGGGAAGCGGTTCCTGGACCATCTGAGGTTGTGGTTGGGGCCTCAGGGTTCTCGTTGGTCTGATTGCAGCCCTGCCTGCTGTGTGTCCACTCAAGCACCGTGACCCTGCAGGCTCTGCCCGCCTGGGACGAGCACGTCGGGTGGGCAGACGGTGCCCAGAAGCCCACCCTGGAAGTGCATTCCCTGAGGCCTGCAGCCGGGCTGCGCAGAGCTTCCTGGCCGGCCAGGGCCCCTGAGCCCCCCCACCCCCCGGGAAAGCGGTGTGTGCTCTAGGCGGTGCGAGGTGTGGGGCTGCCGCAGTCAGCGGGAGCGCAGTGGCCAGCGCGGGAACTCTGGCGAGCAGTGCAGGTGTTGTCGCGGCTGTGTGGCCGGCCGGCCCCTGGGTATGGGTGACCCCAGCCACCGGCCTTTCTCCCCTGATCCACTCTTCTCTGTCCTGGGCAAACCCTGCCTCACGTTTGTGTCGTGTACGCGGCCCCAGTTGTACAGCGAGCTGTGTCCTGTGGCATGTGGCGTGTGTGGCCAGCAGCTCAGATAGGCGAGCAAGCTCTGGGGACGTTTAGAGAAGTCTTCCTGTGTGGCCAGCGTTGCAGCAGCTTGGAGACGTAGAAGTAAAACGTGGCGGGCGCCCTCCGGCCGACCTCGGTGCCTGCAGCAGGCTATTCCCAGGCATTTCTAAGCTCCCGCACTGGAGGACTGCATTCGCGGGTCCCTGTGGCGGGCGGCGTGGTGTCCCCAGGGAGCGTGCTGTGGCTCTCACCGTGCGGTCCGGCCGGCCTTCGGACCCCCGAGGAGACCCAAATCTGCGGGTGATCCAGTCCCTCAGTAAGGCCTCCACGCGACCTCACACAGACAGGGCCTCGCGTGACGTAGGCGCGGTGCTGCCGGGGGGGGGGGGGGGGTGGCGCCAGCCTGCGTGGTCAGTACCGCTGCGGCACCGCAGGCCTACCCTTACGAGCGAGTTGCAGCCTTCCCGCAGTGAGGCGCACAGCGGGTGCAGGGCGCTGGTTCAAGTTGTGCTTTTTGGAACTTTCTGGAATTCTCTCTTTCCTAAATATTTTCATTCCATAGTCAGATGCTGAGGCACGAAGAGCCCGCTGTACTTCCTCCGTCGTGTCTTCTGTCTTAAATTGCTGAGTGCCGCAGCCAACAGTGCGCGGCCCCCGGCCCCCGGCCCCCAGCTCCCGGTTCTCACACGCGCTCTGCATTGTCTGTGTCCCAGGGCAGGTGTTTCTCGGGAGTACAGTTGGACAGTGATGTGCCCTTTGACAGCGTGTCCACCTTGACACAGACACGTGCTCTCTGGGGGCTGAACAGACCTGACACCCGGACAGGCTGGCAGCCACTAGGAGGCCTGCTGCCACCGGAGAACCCAGGGTGCCGTTGCTCCCCACCCTCTCCTGGTATTGCCTGCCCAGGCTGCCCCATAGTGCTCCCTACTGAGAAGCCACCCCAGCTGAAGACAGGAAGGAAGGCGGCTGGCCCACCGCGCCACCAGTGCCCGCCCCTGCTGGCCCCTGGTCAGGATCAGGGCCACATATCTGGTCAGGAGCCAGTGACATCAGGGCCTTCCTCCCGCAGCCCCCGGGAGGCTTGCCGCGCCGGCTGCAGGCTGCGCAGTGCCCCAAGGACTCGTGCTCCTTGGCCAGGAACCCGCACGAGGGAGCGGCGTGGCGTGAGCAGCGTGGCGTGGGTCGCTCCTGTTTCTCAGATTTGCTGGTTCCCTAGGAGAAGGAGTGCCAGAGAAATGAGGCCGGCAGGACTCTGGACGAGGAGGGCTGTGAGAAGCGAGAGCAGGCCGCTCAGCAAGCGTTCGTGTTTGGGCAGAACCTAAGGGACAGAGTGAAGGTGCGTGGCAGGGCGGGGCGCACTGCGGGGCGCAGGCGCGGGCCGGGCCCCGCTCCGGGTGACGGCTTCCTGTCTTCCCCAGCTGGTGAACGAGAGCATCGACATAGCCGACGTGGACAGTGCCGGGCAGCCCAGCGCAGACACGCCGGCCGCAACCAACTACTTCCTTCAGTACATCAGCTCCAGGTGCGCCCCGTGCCGCGGGCCGGCAGGAGTCAGGTGGTGGGAAGAGCTTCAGGCCCGGGGGGCCACTGTCTCTGTCTGCGTCCCTGTCGGGCCCGGGGAAGTCACAGCTGTCGGATCCAGGTCTCCTCAAGCCTCTCGTCCTGCGTTCTGGGCACAGCTGTGTGTGGGGCTGTCCCTACGGTGACCTGTGTGTGGCCCTCACCCCTAAGCAGAGTGGGATGCAGCTGCATCCTGTTAGCTGCGAGTTTCCGACCCCTGGGTGAAGCCCTGGCTGGCCCTGAGTTGGTGCTGCAGGTGGTGGCACTGGGCAGCAGCCAGCCGCGGAGCTGGTGGAATGTGCCTTTCCCGTCCGTAGGACAGGCGAAGGGTCTTTGTGTCTGACTGCTCGTGCGTGCACGCGTGTGCTCCGTGCATCCGTGCACGTGTGCCTGGCCCCACGCTCACTGCACGTCTTCTTTTCAGTGTAGAGAACTCGACCAACAGTGCCGACTGCTCCAGCAACAAATTTGTGTTTGGCCAGAACATGAGCGAACGTGTCTTGGTGAGTGGCCGCACTTGGAGGCCGGGAGGCTTTTAGCCGCAGGCCCAGGTTGAGGGGTGCGCGGGGCGGCCACCATGCCCCTGGGAGGTGACAGTGCTGTCGGTCGTTGGAGATTCAGCCTAAAGGTAGGGCAGCGCTGTGTTGCTGAGCCGGGCTGGTGGTCAGGGTTCTGCATGCTCCCGAGAGGCCAGCCGAGGTGCTCGTCCTCGGCCGTGTGCTGCTGGGCCACCAGAGTCCAGGGTGCTCCCTGCCCAAGTCTGGGAACGCGGCTGCCAGCACCAGCGATGACTGCCGGCCCCCAGCCCCCCAGGGGACAGGACCTGGGTGCTCCCTGCCCAAGTCTGGGAACGCAGCTGCCAGCACCAGCGACGACTGCCGGCCCCCAGCCCCCCAAGCACGCTGCGGGCAGAGCCCACCCAACCCAGGAGAGGGTTCTGGGCGCGGCCTGCTCCCTGTGTCCCTGTCCCTTCCCCGGGCGAGCGCGCAGCCCCGCAGTGCACATGGGATTGCGCCGAGGCTGCGTCCCTGGCCCTCCGAGTGTTCCCGTCGTCGTCTGGGTTCACGTGGAGCGCGTGCGCCTCCTGCTTCTCTCCCACAGCAGCGCGCTCTCTCCTTTTTTTTATTTTCTCTGAGGTTTTTGTTTGTTTGAAAGAGTTACAGAGAGAGAGAGACATTTTCCATCCTCTGGTTCACTTCCCAAAAGACTGAAAGGACCAGGGCTGAACAGGCCAAAGCCAGGAGCGAGGAGCTTCCTCCAGGCCTCCCACGTGGGTGCAGGGCCATCACCTGGGCCGTCTCCCACTGCTTTCCCAGGCCATTACAAGGAGCTGGATCAGAAGTGGAGCAGCCGGGACTCGAACCCGCACTTAACCCGCTGCGCCACACCACCAGCTCCGCTCGTTCTCCTCTTTCTGTCACGAGGACGTGTTCAGGGAGTTGCCTCACGCAGGCCGCCACACAGGTGGCTCCAGATGACAAGGCCCAGCAGAGCCAGGAGGGGGCGTGTTTGGGGCTCCAAGCGCACTGCGGCGTGCTCCCCTGGAACGTGGAGGAGCCCTGTAGGGATGGGGCTCGTGAGGCACAGGGACCAGGCGGACGGCTGCTGAGGGCCGCTGCCGCGGGCCGGGGCTCGGCGTTGGCAGCAGTAGCACACAGCACGCCCTCCCCCGCCTGCTTTGCTTCCCCGCAGAGTCCCCCAAAACTCAGCGAGGGCAGCTCCGAGGCCAGCAGGGAGCACGCTGCTGCCGAGTCTGGGTCCGAGCCCTCGTCCCAGGAGGCCACCCCCGAGAAAGGTGCGTGGGGGCCCTGGCTGCCCACGGGGTCGGGTTGGTGTGGGCTGATGTGTGACCGGGGCACAGGGCTCTGGGGCTCAGCACAGACAGGAGCTGTCCCTTCAGTGCCAGGGAGGGCTGTGCAGCAGCCAGCACCCTCCTCCTGCCTGTCCCTCGGGAGAGTCTCCCGCTGTCCTCTCCCAGCGGGGACCTGGAGACACAGCGCCGCCCTGCAGAGGCTCAGGCTGGGTGACGGGGGTGTGGGGGCCTGTCCAGACAGCTCGTCCGGTGTCCTCAGGCCAGAGCCAGCCTCCTGGCCCCTGCGTGGCCTGCCCTCACGAATAAGGAGTGGCTCTTGTTTAGTCGGTAACGTTTCAGAGTCCCTGGCCGAGTCAGCGGCGGCCTACACCAAGGCCACGGCGCGCAAGTGTTTGTTGGAAAAAGTGGAAGTCATCACCGGGGAGGAGGCGGAGAGCAACGTGCTACAGGTGAGGGCTGCGCGGGCCGGCCCCTGGCCCCCAGCCGTGGCCCGGGACGGGAGCTGTGTTCTGAGGCCTGCTCGGGGCAGGGCGGGGATAACACTGCCATAGGAACAGGACCAGCACTTCCGCTTGCCCCAGCATTCACAGCTGTCCCCGGGAAGGGTCCTGCCGCCCGCCCCCATCTCCCCTCTGCATGCACATGTCTGTGTTTTAAAGTATCCATTTCTGTGGAAGGTTGTATTCTGGAGATTCGTGTGTGTGTGTGTGTGTGTGTGTGTGTGACAGAGAGCTCCCACCCACTGGTTACTCCCCAAATGCCCACACGGCCAGGGCTGGGCCAGGCCTGGTCTCCCACGTGGGTGCAGGGGCCCATCCCCTCTGCCCCGCAGGGTACACCCAGCAGGAAGTCAGCTCAGAAGCGGAGACTTGGCCCGCCGTGCACGCCTTCCGCCCCATCCGCCCCAGTGCAGTGGGTCCCACTGTGCTCACGGATTGTGCGGCCCTCGGCACATTCTCGTCACCCAGAAGCCCCAGCAGTCCCCGTAGCAGTCACTCCTCAGCCCCTGCTCACCACAAACCCTCCTGTCGGTGCCTGGCCCTACTGTGACGTTCCTCCAGTGGAGCCCCGCACCGTCTCCCCGAGACGTCCTCCGGTGTCTGCACGGTGCTCCGCGTGGCCGAGCGGGGTCTGCCACGCGGGCGGACCACTGCCGCTTTGCCCTCAGCAGCCGGTGCCTGCCTCGTGTGTGCTGTCTGCTGTTTCGAATGCTGTGGCTGTGCCCGTGGCGTCTGCCTCTTCTGCGGAAGTGCTTTTCGTGTCTGTGGGGTGGGCTTTCTGAGCCGGGCGGTGACTCCCTGTCCCCTTGCTGTGCCCCGTGGCCCCCAGCCCTTCCTCCCTCAGTGTCCGGTGGCTGTGATGTGGTCTTGCTGTGATTGTACCTTGTGTCTCTTTCGTGGCTGTCGTTTACCGTGGCAGGATAGAGAAACCAGCCCAGAGCGAGGGGCTGCCCCTGGTGGTGCAGGTGGCTTAGGAGGAGAGCCGCCGGGCCCCTCCTCAGCAGGGCCCCACCGGGGCCCCCGCTCACCCCGAGGGCCCCGTGTGTGTTGCAGATCCAGTGTAAGCTGTTTGTCTTCGACAAGACCTCGCAGTCGTGGGTGGAGAGAGGCCGGGGACTGCTCAGGCTCAACGACATGGCGTCGGCTGATGACGGGACGCTCCAGTCCCGACTGGGTGAGCTGCGGCGGCTGGGCTGCTCCCGCCTCCTGGAGGTGGGCAGCAGGGTTGGGGGGGCTTGGGGGAGGCGTGCTGCCCCCGCCCTTCCAGGACTCTCCGTGCCGAGGGAAGTCTGTCAACTTGGAGGCTCACTTTGCTGAGACGAGTGGCAGCTCCGCGGTGGAAGGAAGAGGCAGCAGTCCCTGGTCCAGGGCGGCCCCTTCACAGGAGACCTCGCTCGCGCAGGGGGGCGTCCTTTCACTGAGGCCAGAGAGCAACTGTGCGTCCCACTGTGTGTCTCACGCTGGCTGGCCGTGAGCCTGGCCTCGTGCCCTAAGGTTTTCCTTTACAGTGAGGGCTGTTTTTCTAGAGCTTCTGCCCGAGTACTGCGCTGCAGCTGGTGCACGCACCCTCCTCCCTGTGCGGGCGTTGAGGCCGGTCCCGGTGCCTTCGTTACCGCTGTGGGGCACGCTCCTGGGGCCGCGGGAGCGAGCCTTGCGGCGCCCGGCAGGAGGAAACAGGCGAGGGGCCTGCGCCCGGCGGGTGCCCACACTCGTCTTTGTCTCCGTCCGAGTCAAGGCGTCCTCAGGCCTTCAAGGCAGCAGGGGGTTTGCCCGGCCGCGGCAGCGGCTCGCCCCGACCCGACCCCCGCTGGCATGCTGTTCTTACACACTCAGGCCCTGCGGTGCCCGAGACCGGAGCAGGGCTGGGGACCGTCCCTCCACGCTGTCCACAGTCGCCCCACCCAGGACATCCTCTCCCTTTGTTTCTCCTCTTTTCAGAAAAAAATTGTACTGATTTTTAAATATTTTTTGAAAGAGTTCAGAGAGGGAAAAGGAGGGAGGGAAGGAGGGCGTGAGACAGAGCTGCTGTCCCCTGCTCCGCTCCCCGAATGGCCACGATCGCTGGAGCTAGCCCAGTCTGAGGCCAGGAGCCACGAGCTTCCTCTGGGTCTCCCACGGAGTGCAGGGGCCCCAGCGCTTGGGCACATTAGCAGGGAGCTGGATCTGAAGTGGAGCAGCCAGGACTCGAACCAGCGCCGTATGCAATGCTGGCATCTCAGGCAGCGGCTTGTGTGCTGCGCCACCGTGCTGACCCGTGTTTCTCCTTCCTGCGTGTGAAGGGAGGGTGTGGGGAGCCTCGAGCCTCCAGCCTAGCCCTGCCCTCGCGGGCCCTCACAGGCCTTGGAGGTGGGCATCAGGAGCCGTGGCCGTTAGGCCCGGCCAGGCCGGCAGGAAGCTGCACTGAGCCAGCTCCAGAGAGGCAGCTGCTCCAAGCTGCGGGAGCCCCCTGGAGCTTTCCTGTCTTCTCCCAAGAAAACCGGAAAGCAGGGCGGGGCTTGGCTCACAGTGGGGCAGTCAGGAGGCGGTCCGCTGCCATGGTGGCATTCTTGTCACACACCCAGAGTGCTGTGTCCACATCGAGTGTCCGCCTGCCTGTGGGGACCGGAGGGCCTGTGCAGCTTCGGGGCCGCCAGGGACCTCGGGGAGAAAGGCCTTGCCCGGCCGAGCTCTGCCCGGAGGCCGCGGCGGCCCGCGCTGAGCAGCCCGTCCATTGCAGTGATGCGGACCCAGGGCAGCCTGCGGCTGATCCTCAACACCAAGCTGTGGGCGCAGATGCAGATCGACAAGGCCAGCGAGAAGAGCATCCGCATCACGGCCATGGACACCGAGGACCAGGGCGTCAAGGTCTTCCTGATCTCGGTGCGCCTGGGGCCCTGGGCCGGGGGGCGGGACCCAGTCCTTCGGCTCTTCCCCGGGGCCGGGGCCCTCACCAGGGCACACAGACCTGTCGTCAGTGGCCCTCGCTGACCCAGAGACGTGGCTGGGACCCGGCGCTGTGTCTCGTGTCCCTCGGTCGTGTGAGCTGTGTGGACCCCTCTTCCTAAGCCCTGGCCCCGGCTGCAGCCCCAGGACCCTCCCAGCTGCCTGGGGTGGGCGGCGTCCATTCGCGGAGACAGCAGCCGCTCGTGCTGAGGAGCGCGCGCGGGCCGCGGGGGCTCACGGCGCCCTGCCTCCCCAGGCCAGCTCCAAGGACACAGGCCAGCTGTACGCGGCCCTGCACCACCGCATCCTGGCCCTGCGCAGCCGAGTGGAGCAGGAGCAGGAGGCCAAGACGCCTGCCCCCGAGCCTGGGGCCGCCCCGTCCCACGAGGAGGACGACAGTGATGACGACGTGCTGGCTCCCTCGGGAGCCGCCGCGGCTGGTGAGCCGGGCGGGCGGGGCTGTGGGGCGCGGGCGGCCTGGGCGTGGGCTCCGTGCCGGGGCCCTGAGCTGAGGACGCTGCCTCCACAGGCGCCGGAGACGAAGGCGAGGGGCAGACGACCGGGAGCACATAGCGGCCGGGATGCTCCGCGCGCGAGGCTGCTGCTTTGTCCGTCTGTCCGCCGCCCGCCCTCCCCGCAAGCAGCACCCAGGCGGGCCGGGCGCACACCTGGCGGGCGGCCTCGGCGGAGCTGCGCGTCCCGGTCCAAGCAGACTCGGGAGCTGCCTGACTGTGGTTGGGGACGTGAGCCCTCATCATATTGATGAGCAAACAAAAGAGCCTCCCTGAATTGAAACGGCACATTAGACTCGGCACATTAGACTCGTACGGCTTCTCTCTGGGCGGGGCCGCCTCCTTTCTCCCCCGCCGCCGCCGGGGGCCGGGCCTGGGGAGCGGCCGCGCGCCCTGTGCACAGGCGCGTCCACACTGGGCCTGGCGGACGTTTCGTTACTACTATCTTTATTTCCCGTTCCCATCTTCTGATTTGGGGTTTATATTTTACAGATCTTACGTTTTTTTATTTTCAAAGGCTTTGTTTTTGGTGTTTTGGATGAAGATGTTCTCGTGCGTGGGGCACACCCAGCTCCCTGACGACCCTGTCCTCCATGTGGGCGGGGCTCTGTGGGGCTCACGCGGGCCCCACCCCAGGCTTCTCCAGGCTGCGTCACGGGGTGCTGAGGGCTTGGGCGCGCATCTGGCCTTGGCCTAGACAGTGCCCACGGGGCCCCGCCCCCTCCCCCACCCCCGGTGTCAGGCAGCGGGGCCCTGCCCGGCCCTGGACGTCACGGCTCCCAAGCCTTTCTGGTGCTGGGGGCCTCTCGAGAGGCAGAGGACCCCAGCCAGGCCTTCCGGGGGGGGGGGGGGCCTGGCCGCAGACAACAGGCCACCCCACGGACACAGCACACTGTGGGGGCAGGAAATCTCCCACCCTCACTGCTGGGGCCCGCCCTGCCCAGCCCCCAGCAAGCCTGAGCCAGGGCCACGGCAGCCGCCCCTCCCCCCCACCGAAATCAGCCCCGTTTCTCTGCTAGTGACAAAAGCAGACGGTGCCCATGTTTCTGAAACATTTATGTAAGGTTGCAGGTGCGATGTGTTTGGGAACTGCATTCAACTCGGCACTGCACCCTGCCCTCCTGGGTGCCCCAGGGGCCCCCAGGCTGCCTCCAGGCAGAGGGCACGCAGGGGCGCCCCTCCCCCTGGGGTCCTGTTCCAGCTCCCCTAGTGGCCCAGCAGGAGGCCTGGTCCTGCCGGTTCTGCAGCCTCAGCACCCCCACCCCACCCCACCCCCCGTGTCGGGCCCTGCCTCGGCCCAGTGAGGCATGGGGACGGGAGGCCCTGGGCTGGCAACAGCCAAGCCAGCGCGCTGCTCACAGCTGCCAGGCGCTGCTCATCATGGCCACGAACTCCTCGTCTGTGTCCACGGACGCGCTCAGGCCGCTGTAGTAATCCTGGAACTCGGCCAGCGTGACCTGGTGGCAGACAGGCTGTGAGGGGCACCCGAGCCCCGGCGACTGCCTGGGGGAAGGGGCCCCTGCGGCTGCCCACCTGCCCGTCCTTCTCCGAGGAGTCAAAGTTGTCCAGGAAGCGGCGGAGCACCTCGTCCTCTGTCCACTCCCCGCTGCGCACCTTGGGGTGGTTGCGGCCACTGTACACCCCGCGGAGGTCACCCAAGGTCACCACGCCGTCCCCACTGCGGTCCAGCTTGGCAAAGGCGGCGGCAATGACTGCCTCCCGGGCCTGGGACATGGGCGGCTGGGGGGTGGGAAAGGCAGTGAGCTGGTCAGGAGGTGGCGGAGTCCCCGCCCCTCCAGCCTGTGCGGGGGCCCTTGGGGACAGGAGGTGTGCTCACCCGCAGCGCCCGCAAGAACTCCTCCAGGTCCAGCGTCCCGCTGCCGTTGCGGTCCCAGCGTCTGCACACACTCTGGGCCTCAGCCTCGTCCAGGGCCAGCCCCAGCTTGGCCAGGCCCTGCCGGAGCTCCCCAGCGTCCAGGGATCGGCTCCCATCCCGGTCCAGGCGGCGGAAAAACCTGGGGGTCAGGAGACATGGTCGGACGGTGGTCACTGGGGTGGGGGCGGGGGCTGGGGGGTGCGACAGGGCCGCTCACCTGGCCAGGCCCTGGATGCCTGCTGCCCCTCGGGCCAGGCACTGTGCCCGGAGCTTCTCCACAATGGCGTCCGCAGTGTCCATGCCGGGTCAGGGCTTTGTGGGCAGCTGGAGGGGGAGGGGTCTGGTTGGGGCCAGGCCAGGGGCTGGGTGCCTCCCCACCCCCAGCTGACCAGCCGCTGCCTGCTCACCTGGCCTGTGTGTGTCCCGCAGTCCTGCCTGCTCTGCCCGGCGCTCACTGCGTCCTCTGTCTGCTGTGACCGTTGCTAAGGGATGTTGCTCTGGGGACAGGGTGGGGCCCCGGCTGTAAGTCTGTGCCTGAGCGGAGGGCGGGGCCGAGAGCAACAGGGCTGTGCTGTCCCCTGGGCTCCTGCCCACTCGGCGCTGCGGCGCCTACGCCTGGGCCAGAGCTGGGCACAGGCAGTGGGGCACCCCTTCTCAGCCACGGCCCTGCGGGGACTCGGGAGGCTCAAGACCTGATTCCTGCGTGACCCAGAGCAAGCTGAGGGCTGGGGATGGCCCAGGCCCGGGGCCCTGCTCTGGTTTGAATGTGGTTTGTCCCCTGGGGAACAGGCTGCGCTGGCAGCCCGTTAGGACCAGAGGCCTCCGGGGTGCTGTCCTGGCGTGTACTCAGTGCATCCGGTCTTGCGGCCCGTGGGCCTGTAGATTGTCTGAAGTGGGGTCTCTTGCACGCTCCCCGCCTATGGCCGTGGATGCCCGGCACCGCCTCTCCGCCGCCAGCAAGAAGCCTTGGCCAGAGGCAGCCCTGCGACCTTGGACCAGAACGTGAGCGAAAATAAAGGTTTCTCTGGAAGCCCTCCAGCCGCAGTCCTGTGTTCCTAGCAGCAGACCAGGCCCAGGCAGGGTCCTCACCTGGCCCCTGACACAAGCTGAGAGGGACCGAGGCCACCAGCGGCTGTGACCAGTGGGTGCCCGCACTGTGGGACCCTGCGCCTTGGACATGGTGCGGCCACATTGCCAGAAATGACCGTTGGCCAGTACAGACCGACCCGTAGCAGCCACAGGGCCCGGTGCGCCGCCAAAGCACAGCTGACGTAGCCGCACTGACTTTCCCCCTGGAGACACCTGACCGACGGCGGCCTCAGAGAAGCGCTGAGTGTGTGCGGGGTGGGCTTATCCGCACGGTGCACCCTGGTCCCACGGCGCGAGGTGTGGTGTTCTAGACCGCTCTGTGGGCCGCAGCCTTGGTGACTGCCGTTTGAATTGTTGGTTTGAGAGCCAGGCCGCACGTGGGTCTGTGCTGCAGTCCGGAGCCAAGGCCAGGTGCTCCGACCTGGTACGTGGGTGGCGAAAGCCCCACCCCACTGTGGTCTCTGTCACCAGCATGGGGGCGGGGCGGGGTAGGAATTGCCCCAGGAACCCCCCCAGAGTGGGAGGTGGCCGCACGCCTGGGCCTCCCCTTTCGTCGCTGTGACGCTGTGTCCGCAGTGTGCCTGGCCACCTCCCCAGCCCCCGGGCAGGGAAGAAAGGCCGAGGACCCAGGCTGAGAAGGCATCGGTTTATTTCTGAGCACGGACAGGCGCCAGCCGGCCTGGCCTTCGCACGCACAGCCCCCGCCGCATTCATCACGAGGGGAGAACGGGCCATTGTTCCTGCACTGAGGGTTGGCTGCCGGATGCCAGGCGCGAGGCCGGGGGTGGCCACTGCCCTTCCCTGGGGCAGTTCCTGGTGTGACTTCTCCCTGAGTGACAAGGCCTTCCCCCAGGGGGACACAGAGCAAGGCCAGGAGGGACGGTTGTAGAAACAGGAATGAAAAAATAGACTCTCCAGGGGATACCCGAGGGGGCTGGGTGCTGGCTGCAACGCTAGGCTGGCCCAGGGCGCCTCGTGGGATGTCCTGGGGGGCTCTGGCTCCCTCCAGGGACCCCCACCCCCGGGCCTGCCCGGGTTCCCGGGCTGTGACAGGCACTGGTGACGAGCAGGACGAGACAAAAACTGTCCATGTGGAGCTCACGCTCCGACCCTGAAAGAGGCCCACAGGGAATGCAGCGGGGAGTGCAACGGGCTCCAGGTGAGGCGCGGGAGAAGGCAGCAGCCAGCGAGGCTTCAGGGACAAGGCCCCGTGCAAAAGCCCTGGGGCCGGCACCAGCGGGGAGAGGTAACGCGTGGCTGCCCGCTCTTCCGTCGGGGTTGGAGACGGGAGGAAAAGGAACCAGTCAAACGGCAGAGCTTTGAGGCTCCCAGTTCCGGTCTGGGATGAAGAGGTAAGATCAAACCTGGCGGTGAGCCCCTGCGCCCCGCTTGGAAGCCGCCTGTCAGCCGTCGGCCCTGGCGCGCGCCTGGGCTCCTCCCCGCGCTCCGGAACCTGCGCCCGCCCGGAGCTCACACCGTGGTCCCTAACGCCGCAGGCTGCAGGTGCCCGCCGGCCGGCTCCTCCCCGGCGCTGTTGGCAAGGGGCGGGCCGGGCCCAGCAGGGCCGCCGGCCGGCAGGGGCCCCAGGCGCTCGGCCTCAGCCAGGGCGGCCAGCAGCGCGGCCAGCGGCGGCCGGCGCCGACAGATGTCCTGCAGCAGCTCGGCCCGGGGCTGCAGCTGGCCGATGAGCTCGTCTCTCCGGCGCACGGCGGCCTGCAGGCTGTGCACGGCGGCCTCGGCGGTCAGCAGCTGCTCCCGCAGAGCGGCGATCTCGCTGGCGGGCAGACCAGAGGGCGGGGTCAGGGGGCCTGCCCAGCCCTGCAGCGGCGTCAGGGACTGCACGTTGAGCCCCTGACCGCGTACCCCAACCCCGGACTTCAGCCTCCAGAGCCACGAGTCAATCTCATCGGTTCAGCCGCCCAGGTGCTCTGTCGGGGCTGCCCAGGCTGAGCGGCCCTCAGCACTGCCCCCTCTTCTCTGGTTGCCCGGAGCCGCCGCCTCCAGGAAGCCTTCCCGGTGCACCCCTACCACAGCCTGCTTCCCAGCTGGAGGGCGGAGCGCTCTGCGCCCCGTGCTGCCCCGTACCGGTTCCAGGACGGCCTTGTCTGCAGTTAGCCACACACACCTGTGCACGTCCACCTTCCACAGCGGTGGCTGACCCGAGGCTCCTGGTGCGGGCATGCGACCCCACCGGCAGTCGGGCCGCCACGAAAATGCGCACGGTTGCCCCTGTCCTTCCTCCCTTCCCAGCCTCCGCCCACCTCCTCCAAGAAGTCCACCTGGCCGCGCCCGGGCCTCACCGGTCTTTGGCGCTGCCCAGTTCCTCCAGGGCGGCGCGCAGCTGCTGGTCGTGGCGGGCCAGGCGCTCGGCCTGGGCGCGCACCGTGCGCTCCGCCGCGTCCAGCCGCGCCTCCAGCTCCGCCGCGCGCCGGTGCACGGCCGCCAGGTGCGCGTTCGCCTCGCGGATCTGCAGCGCGGGCGGCGCCGACATGGTCCCGGCCGCGGTCCGGGCCCGGCCACGCCCCCGGGCGTCCCGGAACCGGCACAAGGCCCGCCCGCTCGAGAGCTACGCCCCTCGGGGTCGCGGCGCTATTGGCTGCGGCCCCCGCCAGGGCCGGTCCTCGAGACCGCCCTTGAAACCCCGCCCCCGAGGCCGCTCGGGCCCTGATTGGTCAAGGCCCTGAAGGGCAACGCCTCCTCGTGGGCCTCGTCCTCCCATTGCTCGCTCAGCTCAGGCTCCGACGATCGGATAGGTCCGCCCCTTCGCGCCGGGCCCCGCCCTACTACGCCCGGATTGGTCTGACCGCGCTCACTTTCCATGCTCGGCCACGCCTCCTACGACCCGTACTGGATTGACCTAGGCCCTATCGGGTTACCCCTCCAGTTCTGACCACGCCCCAGGGCCTGCGCAAACTTCATCCAGCCCAGAGCTGACACAGGCAACAGGTTGGGCACAGGCCACGTCCTGCTCACATCCTCGCTCTGGGATTGGTCAGTTTCCCATTAAGCCCCACCTCTGATGCTGGCCCCGCCCCCAAATAGTGGCACGCGGTTGATTTCGGCGTAGGGGCAGGCTAAGCGGTGTGACCACGCCCCATGCAGGTTCTGGCGCTGCGATTGGACACATCGCCGCCGTGCCCCACCCCTTGATTACGTCTCCAGCCTATCAGGAGGAAGCGGGCCTCGTCGGCGCACGGGGATAGGCGTACAGCTGTCTCAGTTCCGCCCCCAGCTTAGGCCCCGCCTCTGTTAGTACCTAGGATCCGCTGAAGAGCGACGGCGAAACCTGTCTTCACTAAACCTGTCTTCACTAATCGCCGTCCACCTTGGGGCATCAGTCCGGCGGTGCGCGCGCAGCTCCCTCACGCCCAGCCTCTGCCGCGTGGGCGCGCGACTTGTGTTGGTGTCCACGGCTCTCAATAAAGTTGCGCGCTTGTTGCCGTGCCAGCCTCCCGGAAGCCTGCGCGCGCCGCCCAGGAAGTCTCGCGAGAGCCGGCGGCCGCTGTCCTTGGGCGTGCGGGGAGCCCTGGGAGTCCGCTGTGCGGGGCAGGCAGCGCGCGGGACCATGGCGCGGAGGCTCCTGAGTCAGTACACGGACATCCCCGATGGCACCGACTGCCACCGCAAGGCCTACGCCAGCACCAGCATCGGCGGCGCCGCGGGTGAGCGCGGGCGGGGGCTGTGGACGGGGTCCCGGCCGGGGGGGGGCGGGGGTCCTGCACGGAGACACGTGGTCGTCTGGGGGGCTCCTGGGCGGCCGTGGGGGCTCCCGAGGGAGAGACGCGGGGGTCCTGGCGGGGTCGGAGGGCGCAGGCTGGTCACTGGGCGGTGAGTGCGGCCGCTGGGGCCGGGGCCTGGGGGAGGCCTGAAGGGGTCGTGGCGCGGGTGTGGGGTCGTCCCCCGTGAGGCTGTGAAGGTCGCGGGTGGCTGAGGGCTTTGAGGGACAGAGGCGTTGCGTGCTTTCCGTGAGACCTCCAGGGAGGGCCTGAGCAAGCCGGAGGGGACCCACGACCCTGCCTCGGGGGTCCGGTCCGTGGGTTGGGGTCCGCCGTCTCCTGTGCGCCTTGAAGACTGGCCCCGTTCTCCGTGGAAACTCGAGGCCCCGGAAGACCTTGAACTTGCCCCAGGGGTCTCCCGGGGGAGGGCTGAGGCGGGGGAGGGGGCCTCAGCGCGGGGGTCATTGCTGAGGGCTCTGGTGGGGGAGGGACCCCGGAGGTCTCCCCCGTGGCTGCAGGGGCCTCAGCAGGGAGCCGGACCGGAAGTGGAGCAGCGGGGTGGGGGGCAGACTTGGGGGTGGTCCCTGGCTTCCCTGAATCCTGCCAGGGCAAAGCCTGGGTCTGTGCCGCTCGCTTTCCCCGGATCCCTCGGGGGTCCTCCCTGACCACCGCCCACCCCCCACACTCGGGGTCCTCCCCTGACCACCCCCCCACCCCTCGGGGTCCTCCCTGACCACTGCCCACCCCCCCACACTCGGGGTTCTCCCCTGACCACCCCCCACACACAGGGTCCTCCCCTGACCACCGCATACCCCCCACACTCGGGGTCCTCCCCTGACCACCCCCCCACACTCGGGGTCCTCCCCTGACCACCGCAAACTCCCCATACAGGGGTCCTCCCCTGACCACCGCCCACCCACCCCCCACACAGGGTCCTCCCCCGACCACCACCCACCCACCCCCACTCAGGGTCCTCCCCCGACCACTGCCCACCCCCCACACAGGGGTCCTCCCCTGACCACCGCAAACTCCCCACACAGGGGTCCTCCCCTGACCACCACCCACCCACCCCCCACACAGGGGTCCTCCCCTGACCACCGCAAACTCCCCACACAGGGGT